GGGAGTAAGCCGATGCTCTGTCGATGATAGACCATTTAATGTTGTAGGGTGTGTTGCTATCTTTTAATTTCCATAAATTCTTTCCACAATTAACTCATTTGCATTTTCACCTGCCTTAGCATTCATATACTCGCACAACCCTTGTATTCTCTCACTCCTGAAGATGGCATTAGCATGAAACAGTCTGTAGAGTGATAATACCCAGTTCTACAAGTTCTACATTTTCAATACTTTCAATATATATATATATATATATATATATATATATATATTATATAAATCATCAAAGGTATATATACAGTGTTTAATAAGGACATGATGGAAACAAACACACTGTAGTGTAAACTCCAAAGGTTACAATTTATTACATTAAAACACTGTTATACATTTATCAAGATGATGGGTCATGGATTTTCAATTTCAGACATGAAAGCAGTATAAACAATATACATCAAGGTACAGCACTGTACTGTCAAAAATAATACAGAAATTTATACCATGTCTCTTGTTTTGGAATGTTCTCAAAACCACTGCACAATATATTAATAATTTATTCTGATATTGAGCAATTCTTTGTAATTTACACAAAATTTTTCACCTGCAAAATTTCAATCTGTTTTGAAATGATGCAAGTTAACAATTTCTTTTAATTACAAATAATCCAAAATATTAAAAAAATCATTTTAATATCAATTATTTAAAAAAAATATTATACATTGCTTTGTTTTGTATTAATTCCCTCCCCATATCCATAATAATTTGCTTCCAACATAAAAAAAAATGTCTTAGTTCATGAGCTATTTAAGTGCATTTTACCTGTATTGCTTAATAGAATAAATACAAAATAAAAACACTGATTACAATATCTTTAAATGTCATTACTATAGTGCACTCTATTTGTTGCTCCATCACTGAAAAATTATATTTTCACAAATTTTATTTAAGAAGTAAATACCACTTACAAATTTGCACAGTTAATAATGAAGTGAATTAGAGTGGATTAAAATACTGTATAATCAATCATTTGCAGTACAATAAACATAGTTAAATGTGTCACAACTAGGTTCACTATCATGTGAAAGTAACTGTATAATATATACTCAAACAATTATGTTAATGAATTGGCGTCAATAATAGTCAGATGCATGAAGCAAGACTGCTGTAACTTTTAATGGAAAATACCACACAAACATTTTTGGTCATCGCCCTTCATCAGGTGGTGTAGGACGATGCCCACACACATTTGTTATTTCTTATTAATTACTGCTTCATGCATTTTACTATTTTATAAAAATGAGTTATTCAAAGAAATCAAAATCTACAGAATCTTATCTTATTAAAATAAAACATTTTGACAACAACAAAGTATAGAGAATTATAATGTATTCTAAACAGACTTGTATATCGTCGCATCACGAACTAACACAACTAAATTCAATTGTGTTAGTTCGTGAAATCAAAAAAGCGCGTCAAAATACGCGCTGTTGTTGTTAAGGACTTTTTGTGTGGTAAAGAATACAAAATTGCTTGACAACCAATACGCACTCGTTTTGACGCGCTACTGTGATTTCACGAACTAACACAACCTACTTTGATTGTGTTAGTTCGTGATGTGAGCGACGATATAAAGGCAAATGCTATATTTACTATTATAGATAATACACTACTATCCTCTTTATGTACAACATTTAAAGAAAATGTTAGTTTCTTAAAAAGTGTAATACAGTATATCAAAAGTAAAGTTATTCAAACAAGAAAAACAATACTTAATTTTGCATTTAACCTAATCGCAGCTTTAGAAGTATTCCTAGTTTCTGAGTACAGTATGCACTGCAGTATGTGTACTAATGTTATTATTCCATCGAAATATATTTCAGCCGGCCCCACACTACACCAACACTTGTTAGCCGACGTGGGTTCATAGTGGATGCAATACACTATTTATAGATGCCAATCTACACGCCATTACTATAACGTATGGAGTAATTTATTCATGTGGATTATTATGTCAGTCAAATTAGAAATATCTAGTCTCCATGTAGAATTTCCACTTAAACATAACCAGGATCAGATGTTTTTGTCACTAAACAATAGTGAGATTTTTGTTTATAACTTATAGCATGGAGGAAATAATATTTCCTCAATGCTTATAGTGTTGCTAAAACCTGTTCGGATTTGGAATTTTTGTTTGTCAAACTGTTCAGATTATCAAACTGTTGTATGCCCATATATTATGGTAATAGTGTGATGTCATCATGACCACATTTTGGCATGTCACCTGTTTTTGTCAAATAAAATTTGATAGTCTGGACAGGGCTTTAAAACCTACAACTTAATATTATAAATTCAAGTGTGAACAGCCATTTGACCAAGGTAGAGATACCCTTCATCTTGATCCAATGAAAATACAGCTTAAATCAAGGCTGACCTAGGAAACAAGCATCGTGCACTTCTCACAAGTACTGTATGTGTGTGCATAGCGCTATGCGCGACATGTACGTTTTAGCATAGGGACGCATGGCTTCTATAACATAAATATAGCACTGCAGTACTGTGGTGGTGACACTGTCATTATGACAAATCTATTTTACTGGCTCTGATAATACAATACTGTACTTATTTTATACCTTGTTTAGCAAACTTTATTTTGAAAGATCATTACCATGGAGGGAGGGAAAAAATAGATTATTTAGCAAAATGATTCTGCCAAAATTTTCTAAGAGGAAAGAATAAAAATATAAATTTATTGAATGATAAATGAAGTGAGTGTGTGAGGTAAAAACAATAGAGGGCACTCTTTGGCCCTCTCCCAAGATTTTATTGTGTAGTCATAAGGAATCAGATTGATAAATAGTTTATATTAATTAAATATTGAGGAAGAAATAGTTATCTTATTGGAGGATTTTATAGCAGTAGGAGTAATAAAATAATTTAAAAAAATATCTCTGGTATTTATATTTCTTCACTTTTATTTGAAATTGAAGTCATCTTTATTGGCTGGCAGTGGGTTTGCGAAACAAGGTATAAAAAGGTTTTGCCTAAACTCAAACTATTTAATACCTCCATAAAGCTTCAATACCCACAATTATTCTAATAGTAAAAATGTTCAGCCTCATGGACACTATTAGAGTAATCTTTTAGGTATCAAATATTTTGCTAATAAAAAGAGGTTCTATACGATAAAAAAACTATTACAATACACCTATTTCAATAACAGTTGCTTAAGTGAGTGCAGTACACAAAGCCTACATTATCGAATATTAGTCTGAAATACTACCATATTAACATACAATTACTTACTGACAATTTTTTAGTTACTAAGAATAAAGGTCTGTATATAAATTGCAGCAGTGGCATATCTACAGGGGTGTGCATCCCCCCTTAAAAAGATCGCGCTCTCCAGTTACCCCTCACTGAAAGATTTCTAGGCAAAAACATTACGCTCAAGTAGTTACAAATCACCTCATATCACCATGTTTTACCAGCTAGCGCCTTTCACTTCTTCATCGAGGCCTCCCGCTTTAAGTTTGCACCCCACCCCATTATTCCCCATTTTATGACTACTAGATATGTCACTGTGAGGCAGACTGAGAAAAAGTTGAAGAGTTGGCTTGAAGAGGTTTGTCTGTCTGACTTTTTTTGTCTGATGATACAAAGCAACATACATGGAAAGACACACATTTATGCCTGAAGCAAGCTCACTATCAAACCTTATCTGTTTAAATGTAACAAACAAAATTCTGAAAGTGTATGCTCTCAATTTATGCCATCATCCATCCATGAATTCTTCCTAATGATCCTCACGGAATGGTACAGTATTCATTCTTCAGATTTCAGATTTTATCATTCTTTACTTCTTTGCGGTTGTTTGAACTGCCCATGTCATTCCATTCTGTGCACAAAAGAAAGTAGAAATACCAATAAAAATGAATTAATACTCTTCTTGATATGCTTCATTTTATATTTTTAGACAATATTTTGTGAGAGTAGCCCTTTCAAATTCAGAGACCAGTGGTTATTAGGGACCCCCCAGTAAATACAATCTAAACTCATAAAATTCTAAATCTCATTCTATCACACCACAAAATACACTGACACTTATGTTCTATTGTATTCTAGCATATAAGTCTGTAGCCACATCAAACCCAGTGCAAAGAGAATTTCTGCATACTCAACCATTGCAAGTAAAATGTGTGTGCAATCCTTTTTTCCAATGAAAACTTGCTCATCAAAGTAACGACACACATATTTTTGTGCATAATTATGCGATAATTGTCACTAAGAAACACAAGCAACGTCTACAAAAGAGACAGGTGACTTTGGCTAGTAATTTATAAGAAAAATTCATCTGTAAATTCTTAACTTAATATTAATAGTAGATATATGAATTTAAAACAAATTAAATAAAGACATTTATATTTAACTGTAATATAGTTAAATATAAATACCTTTATTATCTTTTAATATTATTATGAATCTAATCTATCTTCTGGTGAGTCAACTATACTTACAGTATACGTATTTGTATTATTACAGTAATATTACGATATAAATTATTTATTATTATTATTATTATTATTATTACAACATTATCAATGAATGAGACATTTTACAGTAAACATCGTATGAGTGATAAAAGTCTATACAAACCTCAAGTCCTTCTTGTGTGTAGGCGGAACATGCCTGAATCTGCCATTTACGATCTCGAATACTACTTAGTAATAAATCCTTGGAAATATCAGAAGCTCTCTTGGCCAATGGCAAATCTTGTTTATTGGCAAACACTAGTACAGGGACTCCAGCTAATTTTTCTTCATCTTGTATCAGTTCATTCAATTCCTTTTTAATGAAAGATACAATAATCTGTTAAATTAATATAAATTTTTAAAATCCTAATCTGTCATTGTTTTACACTATGAATTACACTAACATTCATGTTGTATGTATTCCACAAAACTAAGTCTATAACCACATCAAATTCAGTGTAAAAAGAATATGTGCACCCATGATCAAAGGAACATGCGACATGGACACATCAATGAAAGGAGGAATAAAGACAACCAATGTTTGTCACATGCCTTCATGGATTCTGGTAACATGGAATTTAAATCGAAAAATCTGCTTGTTTTTCCCTTTCTTTTCTTTTGTAGGGCGGGGTGGGGTGGGGGAAGGAGGGGTACTGTAGCCTCTGTTTCTCCCCTGGATATTTGCCAGGCAGCAGCATTAGCAATAGCAGTACTGATAGTAGTATCAACATAACACTCACCAACCCAGCCTCTTCCATCCTAAGTGTATCAGCACTGTCCACTACATATATAAGTACATCAATGTTATCAAAATAATTCTTCCAATATGGCCGAATTTTTCTTTGCCCTGAAAATCATTAAAATAAAAATGCATCAAACATAATATTGCATCTGCAGTGAACCACTCCATATATTTAATGCTGTGATTTTATGGGTTATTCTCCTAAATTTATACCTCCAATGTCCCAGACGTTTAATTTCCATTTTTGTGTGCTGACGCTTTTGATGTTGAATCCCCGAGTAGGTGTGATCTTGGTGTAGTCTTCGCCAGCTAATGCTTTTAGAATTGTTGTTTTTCCTGCATTATCCAAGCCAAGCAGTAACACTTTGAGTTCTTTGTTAGGCTCTGACTTCAGTTTTCGTAATAAACCTAATAAACCCTGTTGATAAAATAATATTGTTTCATCAATGATTGTCACCATATTTTTGTCCAAAATTAAAATCATGTGACACCAGAATTTTTTTTCTTGAAAATCCTCCGAACAAGACTTTATAGACTTACTACTCTAGAGCATTACTCGATTTCATGGAGTGGCTATTGTTACACCAGGCAAAATTCTGATTGCATGTTATTATATTGTATGAATTACTAGTTTAAAACAGGTGTAACATAACAATTGCTACTACCTATTATACTGTACTTGCTGGTTAAATTATTGAGATAAATTTGTCTGTCCACACATTCATCTTCTAGTTGGCCTTTCTCCAACTTCAGACTAAGTAAGAGGACTTTTTTTAAGGCAGTTGTTTCATAATCCTCTGAGTCAGAGAACCAGTAACAACAGCAGCTCCAATTTGCAATTTAATTCCATAAATTTTATTTCCATAATTAACATACATATTATTATGAGCAATACAATGTGAAACAATTTATAATTTGAAAAAAGGTCACCGCACTGGAAGGAAGCATCATTAACATGTCATTAGCTTTGTCTGAAACGCAGTGCCTTAAAGCTACGTTCACATCAAGCCCAGATTCCGGTTCAGAGTCCGAAGAAAAATCGTGAAAAATGGGTTCAGTGGTAAATAATAGGACCGTTCACATCAAATTCGTACGATTTCCAATCCAGACACCGGATCCGGACCGATGGATCTGAGAGCCATTTGTATCCTGAAATCTTACGTTTTTTTTCCTTGGACCAATCAGCAACAAGCTTGGATAGTTTGAACCAATCGAACTTAATCCGAACAACTGTATTCCGTGCGCGATATTAACGCAGCGTACAAAAAAACGTAGCAACTCACGATTTTTTGTCCGGGCTCCGGACCAGATCCGGGCTTGATGTGAACGTAGCTTTAGCCTGGATCCGGTCCGGAGCCCGGAGTTGCTACCTTTTTTTGAAAGCTGCGTTCACATCGCGCATGGAACACGGTTGTTCGGGTTAAGTACGTATGCGTTCGATTGATTCGAACTAACCAAGCTTGTTGCTGATTGGGGGAACAGGTCAAAATGGCAAAAAAACAAAATGGCAATACGTCAAAATGGCAATAAGTCAAAACAGCAATGACCAAAACGGCAAAAAACCAAAACGGCAACACTTTTAGACCAGAACAGCAATGGACCAAAACAGCATTAAGTCAAAACGGCAAGACCAAAATGGCAATAAGTCAAAACCCTCAATAAACCAGTTGATCATAAACAGTAGGCAACACAGTTAATAATTAAATTACCGAATAAACAATAGTTTGCTTAAAATGCCTTTTTTCAAATAAAAGGTTATTGAAAGTAACGTTCCATGAGCATAACCTTTAAAAACCCCCTCTTGATTTCATGAACTTCAAGGTGCTGTTAACTCGTATTTACTTCGGTTTGATGGTTTTATTTTAATATAACTGCTGTTACTAATATAAAAAAAAGTACAACTCAAATAAACTTAACAGACCATTCTTATTCAATATTTATTTTGGTATATTTCATCATGGATGTGTGTAAAAAAAAACAGAAAAAAAAAAAAAAACATTCAGAAAATTATAAACTGCTGCCCGCGCCTGGTGGCGCTTCAGTCTTGGCATTGATTTTTGCTCTTTTGCTGTTTTGGTCTATGCCCATTGCCGTTTTGGTAGTTGACATTGCCGTTTTAGTCTGTTGCTGTTTTGGTACTTTACTTATCGTTGCCGTTTCGGTTTATTGCCGTTTTGGTCATTGTCATTTTGGTTTTTTGCCGTTTTGTCCAGAAACCGCTGATTGGTCCAACAAAAAAAACGTACCATTTCAGGATACAAATGCAGTCCGGATTAGAAATCGTATGAATTTGATGTGAACAGTCCTATTTTTTACCACTGTCACTGAACCCATTTTTCACGATTTTTTCTCCAGACTCCTGGCTTGATGGGAATGTAGCTTTAACCTTTACATTTCATCATATCATATTGTATTTTTATGGCAACCCTGTTTTTGGAGTATAGACACACTGCAGTGTTGGGTCTTCAATTCTTGAATTTCTATTCTAAATTAATTCTTGAATGCATGAATGAATAAATAAATAAAATTAAGAAATTAAATTACAATTTTAACTCGCACTTTCAAATTTATTTTTTGGACACTTTCGCACTGCACGTGTACACACACTCTTTCTCATCCAGACGTTCGGCCAATTAACGAAGTTAAAGTAGACCAGGCCTAGCCTACCTACTAGGACAAGGCCTAGCCCACCCGTTTTCGTCTGCGTCTTGTTGGGCCATGACGCAAAACGTCTTGCTTTCTTGACTTGTGATGCGAGACATCGTCATCGGTTTGCTCATGAATTCGATTAATTTACATGTACTACATTCAACAATGGTATATATAGCTAACCGTTACATAACTGTGTACATTTTTGTTTTATTACATAATTCGCAAAGCGTAAAATAAATATTAATATTATTATTTTTCTAGACAACACTTACCATTTCGATGGATGGCGTTTCGGCGTCTCTAAAATAATGGTTGTGGTTGTTTTGTAACTATGCATGACGTAATTTCCGTAAACGAAGAGGTCATGTCATAGGTTCTTTTGGTCAATCAACAACATAACACACGTTGCAACCATCCGTTCAGTGCTGAAAAGGTAGGGACATATTTGGGTTGGGCCCAATTAATAGACAACCTGTTTAAATATATGATTTTTATGACAACTTTGTACTAAGTAGTTTAGTTTTCAGATTTATTGGAGTGGAGTTGAATAGCTTGCCTTCCAATCCCGAGGTTCAATTCCTTTTCTTTTTCTCTTACGACCAACAACTCCCACTTCTAAAATATACTGTACCCTAACCTAAACCTCATTCATCATATTATATTGAGGTTTAATACTTTGTGAAAAGCATAGTGTGTGTATTGTATTGGCTTGTTTGTGGAAGGGATTTTCACCTACAAGTAGGACAGCATTTTCGCTATTGAAAATCCTTGGTGTTGTGTACCTAAATAAATAAAAATAAGGATTGGAGGAAGTATATTACAAAAAACTAAAATTAATTAATAAGTAAATAAAAATTGAATAAATAAATTTTAAAAATTGATTGTATTTGTTTTTCTCCATCTAACGCCAGTCATGCGGTCATGCAGTTTTCCAGCCCTGCTACATACAACTATTATTATTTGATTGTTAGTTAGGTGAACTACTGTATGAGTTGGAAAATACCCAAAAAAGAAATCAAACGTGGATCGAAAAATCATGATGAATGGGAAATGATGCTAAAGAAGTTTATTTTTATATAATCGTTCTATCTGTAAAAATACATATTAGGACATTCTGAACAAAAAGACTATCGGATCTGTATATGTGGTGCCTGCAAGCATTTATTATTAATAACATTTATTGCATGTGATTGAGTTTTTAACAAATTAAATTTTGCAGTTACAGTAGTGGTAGTCCACAATGCAGGCAACTCAATTCCCAATGGAGGAGGTGACAACATCGCCCCGTCTAAACCTCGACAAACCAAGATGGGATCAAACAAAGTTTGTTGGTCGTCTCAAACATTTTTTTAATATCACAGACCCCAGAACTGCCTTGTGTTCAGAAAAGGAATTGGATGATGCAAAACAGTTGGTAGAACAATACAAGTAATGAGATTGTTAATTTTCATTTTAGAATTACAGTAATGGATATTGACTTTGAGAATAATTATTGTTTAAGCGGTGAACATTTACACAAAGTTTGTTATATGTACCGTAGTTATCAAGCTTTTTCTGCTGCTGTTCTGGCCTTCCTCTCAGGAACTGGCTTTTCACCATACAGTGTTGGCATCAGTGAGAGATCTTTCCCCAGTAGACAAGCAGAAACCAATGGTGGTACTTGTGGTGGCAGGGGCAGGCAAGATGGGCATTAAGATTGCTGGTGAGACATGAGAGGGGGAGGGGGAGGGGAGAAAGAAAACACATTTATTGAGAAATGTTTTCTACAATGTTTCAGACAACAAAAACCACCCAAAATTGCAATTGACATTTAGATTATTGCAGTGTTGACCAGCTTTAGCTTTTAGTAAATTACATAATTGAAACAAATAATTAACAAATTATAAATAGATTTAAAAATTATGTTTTTGACCTTTAACCCATCTTTTCAAATATTAGACTTGGTCTTGAGCCCCCTGGTACAAAAGAAGAGCAACTATGGTATGCACAGAAACTTTACATGTCAGCATTTCATCCGGATACAGGTGATAAACAAAATGTGATTGGTCGAATGTCTTTTCAGGTTCCAGGTGGTATGCTAATTACAGGTGTAATGCTACAATTTTATAAGTAAGTTGAGGATGTATGGTCTTAATGAATGTGTAGCATAGTGTTTAAAACCTGTTTATATGAAATTTATACACGCGAGTCGAAAGCATCTGTTCATACGCATGTGCATTCACATTTCTATCGGACTTTTTGCTTCAGCGAAATTGGTAGTTCTAACTGTTTCTACATTTTGTGAAGCGAAAAACAGGCTTTCGATTCCCACTTTCCAATCCCATGGTCCTTCGTTCAATCTCTATGACATATTATTTTTTTCTTTCAACAAATTTAATTTCTGTTCTATGACATATGATTTTTTCTCTCTCAACTAATTTTAATAATCTGCTTGTTACTTGTGATTTCGATCTCATTTTATGATAGTTTAAATGTTTTTAAAAGTAAAATTGTTAAATCTATGTAAGTGTTTTTTCTCATATATTTTATTATGTTTTGATTAAGCCTGTTAGTGGTGGTTTTTATCGCTGTTGGTTTCGAACTGAAAAAATGATAAATAAAAATAGACACCGCCACATCCTAAACTTTGTCATATTTAACATTTCTGTAGCCGGTGATTATGAAAGACCACTTCCATCTTATAAATTATATACTGTACTTGCAGAAAGGCTTAAAAACTATCCATCAATTTTCTTCCATGTTTTTATGTTACTGAGATAAGACATTTTGATTTTTGGTGTAAAATGTATGGATTGCATAGCCAACCTAATTCTCTGGCCATTAATTTACTTGCTTTTTTCAACGTACTTTAAATTAATGCATAAGGTTATGATCCCTGAAACCATTGTATTTTTCATGAAATTTCTTCATATAGAACAGTGCCTGCAGTTGTATTTTGGCAGTGGGTTAACCAGTCTTTCAATGCTCTTGTTAACTATACCAACAGAAATGCTAAATCAGAGACCACACCAAGGTAAGTTCAATAACCCTCCAAAAGATATTATTTACCTGTTTAGATTTTCTTTATTTGGAGTTCACCTCTAACAAACAAAAACAACACTTAATTTAAACATTTAAATACCAGTAATAGAAGTGTTTTCTTTGTCTTATATTTTATGATATAAAAGTAAACTGTTTTATGATTTTTCAGAGAGATTGGTTTAGCATATGTTTCAGCAACTAGTAGTGCCTTGGTTACCGCCCTTTCACTAAATTCATTAACCAAGGTGAGCTATATGAAATAAGGTCTCCCTCCAATTATAGCCAATTAAACATTATGTGTTAGCTAGTTTCTTAATCACAATCACGAGTTTTGTACGTCATCTAGTAGTGAATCGGCAAGGGGCCTTTGGCTAATGCATCGATATATCGATATTTAATGATGAAAAACTCATTATTTATGTCTAAAATGCTCCCTGTGCAACAGACTAACATACAGTTTTAACTGTGTTTTACTTGTAAAGGCTGAGTAAAATTATGAAATCAATCTTATCAAAGTAATATGATACATACATATCAGATAATTAGTTTAGGTCCCAAGGTCTCTGTACTCTCAGACTCAATTTTTTGGGCTTTGAAAATAGATGGAAAAACAGATTTGTGTGTGCTTCCTACCTGAGGTAGCAGCACAAACTTAGCAGTGCACTGTAGGGGAGCCATATGCTTATCCTTGGTGGATATCCCAGCAAACTGAAGCCAAGGTACATGCGTGTTCGCGGTAGTGATGGCGACGCTATCTAAAAAATCAGGGGTGTGCACCTCCCTCTTCCCACTTCGCATTCGCGCCTTTTCATTAAATAATTTTTGTTTTTGTTTCTTGTGGCTTAAAAACGCCTTGAGACAGGGTTTTTTTCTGTGGAAGGTACATAAATACATGACCATTGACCATTCCATGAAACAAAATTTAGCTCTTGCTGTCCATTAATGGCTTGCCCATGTCAGGTTGAAGTCTTCAATTTTTTTAATTTTTTTTTTGCTAGGTGTCATTTTCATTCTACTAAAACAAACTTGGATAATATTTTTTTGCTAAATTACAACATTTTCAGAAAGCGCCACCTATTGTTGGTCGTTATGTTCCTTTTGCTGCAGTTGCAGCAGCAAATTGTGTGAATGTACCAATGATGAGGCAGAAGGAACTAAAGAATGGTATTGCAGTCTATGATGAACATGGTACAGAGCTTGGCAAGTCAAAGGTAATTACTTCTGCCAAAAGATTATGTATTCATCGCTGTCTGACTGTTTGTTAGCAGGCTTATGCAAAACCAATAAATGGATCATAAAATTTTGTGGTGTGATACATATTGATGTAAGGACGAGGTGATTAAAGTTTAGGGTGAAAAATTTTCTGAAACTTACTCTCGAGCATAAAAAAATAATGGAATCACTCATAAATGATCTGCATGTATTATTCGTTATTCAGAGCTCTAGAGTGACTGCAATTTTTTTGTTTAAGTATTCATGAAATTTCTTGGAAAAACCTAACCCCTTGGACACTGTGTGGATGAGATTAATTTATTATCGATTTATTATCAATTTATGTACTGCTTTATACAGAATTCTAAATATGGTCTATGGATGAACTGACTCATATACAGTAGTATCTTCCTTCGCCCCTTGCTGTCAATCATGGCAAAGCTGCCCAGTAAACCAGAGCCAGCCAATCTTCTCTGTCCACAACCAAGTCTGTTTAGACCATACATTGTGCTAACTCCACTCATCTCTAAAAATGTATTGGTTCCTTTATAGTACACATGAGCCAATTATACACACAAGTCCTAAGGCACAGTCCTTATCCGATAAGACTATAAATATTATGTGACTGTATGTTTGTGGGAATAAAGCTAAAATTAAATTTGAATTTTTTTTTCTCTCAGAAAGCAGCTCAAAAAGGAATTAGACAAGTTGTTATTTCAAGAATTACAATGGCTGCTCCAGGAATGTGTAAGTGGAAGCTGCTTAGTTAAAAAGATATAAACAGGTTTGGTTAATTTTGTCATTAAGGCAAGACTTTTTTTAATACCTTGTTTCGCAAGCGTATTTTTTTAGAGATTGTCAGAGAAGGGCAGGAAAAAAAATAAAAATAAAACTTTGTTTTCTTATTTAGCAAATAGTTTTGCCAAAAACATCCAAACTGAGGAGAAAATATAAAGAAAATGTTATTGGTGAATGTAAACAGTGTAGCAAATGGATGGTTAAATGCTTTAAATATATAATTAGGAAGAAATATACATACCTTATTTTTGGAGATTTCAAGGCAGTAACGGGCAGGTGTAATGAAAATAATTAAAACCTTTTAATTTTTTTTCTGAAATTTCCATTTTTTTTCATTGCGGCGGGTGCGCTAATTGTCCGAAAATTAGATTATATTTTTATTTTTAGTCAAAATCATCATTGTTGGCGGCGGATGGTTTGCTAAACAAGGTATAGAAAAAGTATCTCCTAAACAACAATAATGGACATATACATGTCACTTGTTAATCTGCAGAAGTATGCTTGCGCCAAAGAGTCAGCTCTCCACTTCTCAAGCCTAATAGAGACTTGGTTATAGAACATCGAGGGTTCCAAATAATCAGCTCCTACTGCCCTTGAGTTATAGTTGAGCACCAAGGGTAAACCATATAAAGAGACTTAATTATAGACGATCGAGAATTCAAAGGAACAGCTTATATATTTTAATGATTCAGATTTATACAATTTAAAAATATATTTCCTTGTTTAATTTCCAATAACTATAGGTATACTAC